TCAATTGATTGTGTAATAACAGAACCTGATTCAAATGGTGGTAACTATCTTTTGATTAAAATAAATCCAGATATAGTAATATTAGCGGTATATAGATCACCCTCCTATTATTATATTGACAACTTTTTAGATTCTGTAGAAAAAATTATTCGTCCCTTAAAATCTAGTAACATATTTACTATGGGCGATATCAATATCCAACGCTTAAGGCCTGGTTGACGCCTGGACTGATAAGGTGTATCCGTCACCGCTATAAATTTCACCAAAAACTGAAAAAGAACCCTGACAATGAAATACTTCCAATTTCCTTTAAGCGTTATAGGAATTACTGCAATTCCTTGTTAAGTAAGCTCAAGCGCCAATATGAAAAAAGTCTTTTGGCAAATGCAAAGAACAGTAAAGAAACTTGGTCTGCAATCAAAGCCATCTCCGGATGTGATACTAAAAATAATTACGCTGAAAATTTGATCACAAAAAATCCTATAGATTCAGTGGAGAGAGCAAATTACTATTTTTCAACTTTAGGTAGAAAATTAGCTGATAAAATTTTAGTAAACGGTGCTAAACCTGCTAATGTTAATACTATACCCTGGTCGCTTAATTCGTTTGTGCTAGATTCTCCTGACGAGTTAGAAGTTGAAACAATATTGATGGGTCATAGAAATGATTGTGCTATTGGTTGGGATTCCATTCCTGCTGTCTTCCTTAAAATGACCAAGGATAAAATACTTCTGCCACTTACAACCCTTTTTAAAATCTGTTTTGAACAAGGATGCTTTCCAAAAGTTTTTAAAAGATCTCTCATTACTCCTGTTTACAAGAATGGGGCTCGGGACGTTGTTGAAAATTACAGGCCGATCTCTGTGCTACCTGCTCTTTCAAAAATCTTAGAAAGGATGCTTAATAATCGTTTGGTTAAATTTCTAAACAAATATAATATCTTATCTAATATGCAGTTCGGATTCAGAGCGGGTGTTAATACAGAAGATGCTGTTCGTAACTTGACCGAATTTATAACAAATAAACTGGACCATAAACAGAAGTGTGTAGGGATTTTCCTAGATTCAACCAAAGCTTTCGACACCGATTCTATACCCATTCTTGTAAACAAACTAGAAAAAATTGGAATAAGAGATTCTGCCCTTTCCATTTTTAAGGATTTTCTATATGACCGTGTGCAGAGAGTAAAAATAAAAAAAAATATTAGCTCAGACGCCTGTGTCACGTTTGGAGTCCCTCAGGGCAGTATCCTGGGACCAAGTCTCTTCTTGGGTTACATTAACGACCTGTGCTCAATGACACTAACTCAAGGCAGACCACCACTGAAACTGGTCGCGCGAAAAAACGCTGCAGCGGTCACTACAAAATACGTGGATTCTTCTTCTACTGTCTCTCGCCCGTCAGCGCCAAACGCTGGGAAGCTGCCTTCCGCTGCCACCTCCCCACAACGCGCGTGACACCTGGTACCATCGGGCGATTTGCTAAGTCGAACGTGATTGGGTGGCGTCTCAAATGCCTATATTTGGCCAAAACAGTATATGCATGCGTATATATATATATATATATATATATATATATATATATATATATATATATATATGTTAAGCTTAGTTACTTAATTAATCGTTAAGATTAAAATAATGTTGTCACAACACTGGGAGAGGCCGCTGATCCCTAAGATACAGACTTGTCTAGTTTGGGGATCAGAGTCTTCACCTTATTATTGTACTTTTATTTAAATAAATGATTATTATTATTATTATTATTCCATCAAGTAAATTCAGTATTCTTCTCTAAGTATAAGGAATCATGTAGTCCACAACTATGCTCCAAAGGGAGCATTGCACGTACGACGGGCGTCAAGGCCGGGACCGTTTAAATGGGACACGCAACCTTAGTCGTCCACCCTATTTTGAAAGCTAGTGTGTGTGTGTGTGTGTGTGTGTGTGTGTTGAATCGAACGTCTTTCTCTTGAAGTCACGCACGTCATCTACCCGGCCATACTTTTATGTAAGTGTGTTAAAAGACTTTCTTTACCGCTAACTTTAATATTAGGTAAGCGTTCTCTTGATAAAGGAGTTGTGCCCCTTATTTAGAAATAAGCATTTACTAACCCGTCTATAAAAGAGACTCAACAGACTATGTAGATAACTACAGGCCAATATCACAATATCCAAAGCTATGTTTTTCACGAAAATTTTAGAGAATATAGAAATATCAGACCATCGAATAAACGCTCTATAGTTGTTAATCCAGTAAAAAAAAAATCGGTTGTCTGTAAAGTCGGTTTACTGACTATAGTTGAACGTGACAACGTCATAAGAAATATTTAATATTGAAAGAATCATTACCTTTATCGCCGCAATTATCGTTGCCATAAACAATTGACGCCACATTCACTTTTCACTGCACTTCATACTTGACGAAAACATGTAAATGTATTATTGTATAGCAGCTGTCCATGCGGACATACCGAACGCGGAGGCCGATTGCCTCTTTGTCGCTCGTTCCGCGCTCTCGCTTGCACTTTAAATGGAACGCCTCAGAGCGAGGTAACGCCGCATGAGTCATGTTTTTTCGGTGCAGCCAGCTTCATCGAATTATAAGACGTTGTCACGTCAAAAACAAATCTACTCTACCTATTGAATCTTCCTATCTGTTCGTACGAGCTTGCATCATATTTATTTATCTATGGTTCCTACAGTTTAACTGACATCATTTGCGAATCATTACAAGTCGACGTAGTCTATGACTACAGTAAGGTGCTGAATCGTTTAGATTAGATTCATTATTCTCTCGAAAACTACTCAAAGTTTTATATCAACGGTGATCGCTTTATGTGTATTATGGAAACCTTAGCCCTGGTCCACATTGCAAGCCTAGCGAGGTTGCGACGACGGGCACAAAGTATCAAACATATAAAACCGCCGTTTGCGTCCATAGTGTAGTGACTAAGGCGGGCGCCTAGCGCGACGGGCATGGGCGAGATACCGTGCGTAGTTTTCAAACGCTCCTATCCGCGCGTTACGCCACACTACGGGCTTAGTCAGCAAGCGATATAATGCGCGAGTGCGGGGGTATCAAACCAGTTCGGTTTTATCGCTTGGCGTTAGCGCGTCTTCAATTTTTTTAATGATTTCAGGTGATATTTTACTCATGATATAATCAAACGTTGACACGGACATTCGAGTGTACTCAAAGAATTTTCTAGGATACAATCTCAATTCTTCACACATAGTAAAAAATTCACTATTTATATCTCTGTTTTTATTTACATCGTGCACACCCTCCGTGCAAGCTATGTCTTCACTCATTTCATCAACTGGTAATATTTATAAACTAATAACAATTGCGATAATGTGGCAGCGCCGTCGTCGCGCCACAAGCGAAACCTAAATTGCGCTAAGAATTTTCCGAAATTAAAGCAATATACTATATAGAATAACTCCAAACGACCACTTGGAGCGTTGGCCGCTCCCCGCGCAGAACACCTTGTCCGGCGGGAGATCTCCCCTTTTCCTTCCACCCGCCACAGTGGTGACCCCGACGTGATATGAACACGCAACCAACAACTTCCAGAAACTACAACGTCAAATCTTCGTCTTCGTCCTCAAGTACCCCATTCATTCGCTCCCGAGCAGATATTGTCTGCAGTCTTCACATTCTGCAAGCCATCCAGCTTTACAAAAGTTCATCGCAGCATTGGAATACATACACTCTGCGCTACAGTGTTCGGCACTGCTCTGAGCCTTACTGCTCGCCTCTGCTTCAAGGCATTCTCGCAGATTACTTGCCTTCTTCCCGACTCACCGCAGAGTACAAGCCAATCCCTGGCACTTGCTCCGGCTCATCGTTCTCACCGGCATCACTTGCAAGTGCGTAGCACGGCATGCAGTATACACTGGCATATCGTTCGCACCGGCTTCACTTGCCATTACGCACACAGCATGCATTTCCCACCGGCATTAAGGACGCACCGGCAATCGGACTGCACTATCGACCTCCGGTCTGAGCAGGGGGTGATGTGGCAGCGCTGTCGTCGCGCCACAAGCGAAACCTAAATCGCACTAACAAAGTTCCTTAAAACCTTTCGTTCCTAGAAAACCTTGCCCGGCGGGAGATCTCCCCTTTTCCTTCCACCCACCACAGATAATATCCATTATAGTACACTGCATCACAATATGTTGATGCGTAACATTACATAGTGTTTGGGACACTTTGACGGCATCTTGAGACAGCAAACACTTGGCCATAGTATCTCAAGGCACCTAAACAGACACCTTCTCTTGAGATTCACATCACCATCAACATCACACAAAAAAATACAAAATCGCACCACTTTTACATATCAAAATCCACTTCAAAACAATTATACAGCAGCAGCTATCCGCCGCCGGTAAAGTTCCTAGTGATTATATTCTCTTTGGTTCCCGCCAAAACTAATACCTGTCGTCCACAGAGTAGATACCTATAGTTTTATAGGTACCTAAAGTATCGCCTTGACAATCACAAGTACTCTGTGACATTCACTTTATGTCAAAATGAAAAGAAATACGTAAAGAAATTCAACAACCTTATTATTTTCGAAAACTTGTTTATTTGTGTTAATTCTTTAAATAAATTTTATGAAATGTTATTGTCTCAACTTATGTTTTCATGTAATAAGATTCACTATAATATTAAGCTCAACTAATGTGTTATAAGCCTGTGTTTGGAGTTTTTAGTGTATTCGTATAGGTAGGTATTTTATTTTCTACTCTTTACAAAATATTAATTGTAATTTGTGAAAAATAACTGCAATTTTTGTTTTTGTTTTAAAAAGTTCTCAAATAGACATATAAAGCCCCTTTAAGTAATAAATTTTAATGATAATTTACTTCTGTATAGATGCATTTATACATTAATACATCTTTACTGATATTTAGAACAAACTTTACTAACTTATTTAATATCGTAGAAATGTTTTTATTTCACAGTAAGAACATACAGCTTTATCAACAATGTCGTTAATAACGGGACTAGATTGGAGGGAACCTTGGTCAGATCAGCTGGTTTCAACATTCATGAAGGAAATAATAAAAAAAGACATTCTTGTTCGTATTTTTAAACAGGGAAGGAATGGTCCTAAGCACATTAAGGTTAGTAATTTAGATGATATTCCATGAGTTTACATATTGTCACTTTACCTGCTAGAACTAATGAATATTCCAACTTTTCATTGGGAATATAACTGGTTTTCAGTTTTAGCAAGTAATTGTAAGAACTAAGTGTGTTATAAAATTTCTGCTATTTTCATAACCAGTTGTAGTAACACACTTTTAAGATTAGTTTTTTGGTTCATGGGGATAAGTGAACACTGTTTAAGTAATACACCTTACTGATTTTCACCACCGCATAGGCATAACGACAATATGTTTTACAGTGAAAGTAATTTATAGCTGTGTGAGTGTGTGAGCATTTCATATCAAAATAAGGTACTTTCAACTCTCAGTTTAGCTCAATACTAAAATTAGAAATTTTTACAGCTTACTAAATTAAAATATGTGAAAGGTTTTTGTTTGCAGATTATTTGCAATATATAACCCTCGTATATATGTGTCGTAACATATAGCTATGAGTATATGGAATATTGACCTTGCTTAAAATCGATGATTATTGCTTATTTCATTACATATTCAATTTCTTCATACCTGTCTCTTTCTATTGTCATTTAGTAAAAAAAGAGAGAATAACTTTAAATCATTTCTTAAATCATCATCAATAACTATGAGTAAGGCTGTATATGATTATATTTTAATTAATTAATTAATTTATTTATTTACCACAACCAGACAGTGATGGGCACAGGACCAACAACTTTACAAGCTTTTCGAGGCATAGGGGTTAAGCACCGCTATCTTGTTGACTCTGGGCTGCTAGTGAGAATTTCTTGACATAAAAGCCCAATAATTGTTTTTGGCTCGAACCCAGGACTTCATGATTAGAAGTTGCAGTTTAAGACCACTACCCCAATGATTCAGTAAAATTTTTATGTTTTTGGATTTTAAGCCTTTTTTCATATTTGCCTCATTCTTGGAATAATGGGGTTACCCTGCCTCCACATGACAATGGATATTGGTTGGTATTCACACAGTTTCAACATGAAAATAAAACTTTACCTATATAACAATATATTTTAAAGAAATGTCAAAAAAGTGAATAGCCACAGTACAGTGTCTATGTATCGATGCTCATTGGACTCGAGAGTTGTTGTTTATAAAGGCTTTATTAGCATCTAAAACATATTAAATGAAACTAATTTTACAGGTTTTATCGCTTTTAACCCTAGAAAGATAATCTTATTTAGACCTACTTTAAATATAGTCATGTCTTGAAGACATACTCAACTTTAAATGTACATATTCGACAAATAATTAAACAGTTTATAGGTATTGTATAATTATTCTAGAGTTTTGTACTACAAATTAAGTCAAAATTATTATGAGAAATGGAAAATAATCTTTAAAAAAAAACAATATTTTGTAAACCTCTATAAACATTATAATAGCAATAAAAGTTATAAAGCAACTATAAACTATTAAGTCTCGCTTTTATGAAAAATCACACTTTTGGTGTATTATAAACATTATAATACTAGTCAGTTGTTATACTTAAAAATAATAATATTTTGTACCCTAAATTATTATTAGGTACAGCTATTATTTAGATCACTTTTGTGTTTCCCCGCAAATTGGTCTTTTACGTTTTAAAACATGTTATTTTTCACATCTTTCTTATTTTTGATCTACAGTAGAGATTATGAAACTTATTTCTTTTACCCCCTTTGAAAATCAATTATTTTTCAGTACTAAAAATTGGGAGCTTCATTAAGAATTTCATTACTTTATTTAATTAGACATTATTACCAGTGAGAGCAATTAAAATTTGACTTTATGATATTAAGAATATATTTTAAACAAATTAAAAGAAACAATATAGATAGGTAATCAATTTCATTTTTAAAACTAATCTAATGAGACGGATGAATTTGATGATTTTTAACAAGTTTGTTGATATCAGGTTCAATTTTACTCAAAACCAGTTGTAAGTGCAATCAATTTCTTTTTGTAGTAAGCAGCATTGTCAGCTAATCCACGTTCACACAAATATGACGATGGGAATGCTATCAAAAATCGTTGAATGATCGACCACAATCCAGGGTACAACCGCGGGATTGATTTTTGTAGCCAAAGTTCTTGGTAGCCATTTCTGAATTTGATTTTATTTCCTTGTTCATTGTCAGTTCTATAAGTTCTTCTTCCAGTTGGTTTGAAACTGCTATCTTGACATTTGAAAAAGGATCTAACACCCATTCTGATATTTCCAATTTCAAAATGTTGGCAGTAGACAAGCAAGTCGTTGTTATTGCAGGATATTGATAAATTGGGAAAATTATGGAACTCACATCTGCCAATATTCTTCTTGTGTAAGAGCTGCTTGGCTATGAACGCAGTAATGACATTTTTTGTTTTTATTAGGTTCAAGCAATTTATAAAGGTCTGTCAGGTAAGCTATATCATTCTTTGATGTGATGAGGTTGACCCGCAATTCTATGTCTTTGTTTTCCAAGTACTCTATGACAGATTTAAACAGATTGTAAAATTGAGTTGGACAATTTCCTTTTGATACCCAACGCACTTCTGTGTGGAAGATCAATCCGTTGAGACTTTCATCATTAATAACACAAAGCTCATTACGTAATCTGTCATTTAAAGAGTTGTTTCGGATTTTATTGACTGCTCTTATGATATGTTGCAATGATTGAAACAATTGTTCACTTAAATTTCTAGCAACCAAATGTTGTCGATGTATAACACAATGTAACAAAAAGCACATCTGGAATTTTGTTTTTGTTCGCTATGAAGCCTTTTTGACACCCCATCATAGCTGAAGCACAATCTGTAGCAGCTGATATAATATTCTTCAAAGGAATTCCTTTCTCATCACAAAACTTTTCCAGTGTTATAAACATGGTTTCTCCTTTTGTGTCTGGTTCTAAATTTCTAGCAAATATGACATATTTTTTCATCTTTAATAAACCTCACGTAAGACAGCAACAATGCTTCATTAAATGGTAAAATGGACTCATCCAACTGAATTGAAGATTGACTAGTCTTCAGATGATTGCACAATGACTCTTCAATTTTTTAGATATAGATCACAGTAGTTATAACTTCTTTTATTTCCAGCAAAATTACGTTTCTCCGATGGTGTACGGTTCACCTGTTTGAGCAATTAACAAACAGATATTGTATGAAACTCGAAGTCCGTCATCGTCTTGCTTAGCAGTCACCGAAAAAATTTTTGATACACTTGGTTGAGCATTATGCTTCTTTTCCAGGTCTTGAAAATAGGCTACATTTTTGTCCTTCTTATCTGGATGCATTTTATTCAAATGATCATGAAGTCTTGAAGGCTTAATCGCTTTGTTTGAAAATGTTTTTGGACAAAGAAGGCAAAAAGGCAAAGATGGATTTGTCGAATTTTCTATGAATCCATATTTAATACATTCTGCACGATATTGCCGTCTCTTGTTTTTGGCTTCCGACATGGCTTTGTTTTACAAATATGTAAATAAAGTATTGAACTTAAATACTTGTTTATTCCACTAATAAAACTATAAAAATTATTAATAGATTTTCTAGAGGATTTAAATACAGCACGCACCGACAGGAATAAGACAAACATGCACAAACTTGTTTATCACTTTCGACGCTCATTCGTACTGAGCAAGTTAAGACAAGTATCGATGAACCAGGCGATTGCTACCGGATTGCACCAATAGCGTTATTTGACAAAAATTTGTTACAACAAAAAAGAGATAGACAAGTTATGCTGGCACATTATAGGATTATCCCAGGCCCGAAGAGAGAGGGAGGACACGGTAACCCTCGAATCCGGTAACTTACTCTATCACGTTCATCACGGACGGACGATCGGCACGGACCATCTGTCCCAAGGAGGTGTCGGATTTATCGTCCACAAGTCTCTCGTTAACAATGTTGTAAAGATTGAGAGTGTGTCGGCGAGGGTTGCGTACCTTATACTCAGAATCACCAAACGGTATTCGCTGAAGGTCATACAGGTTTACGCACCAACCTCGGCACACCCCGATGAATAGGTGGAGGATATCTCTAGAGCCATGCATTCCTCTAAAACCCACTATACGGTGTTAATGGGAGACTTAAAAGCAAAACTACGCACAAGATAGAACGGTGAGCTGAAAGTAGGGAAATTTGGAATAGGGCAACGGAACCCAAGGGGTCAGCAGCTGGCCGATTTCATGGCGAAAGAGGGACTCTTTATGATGAACTCTTTCTTCCAGAAGCGGCCCCATAGGAAGTGGACCTGGGCGAGCCCCGACGGTTCGACAAAAAATGAGATTGACTTCATTATGATGACCAGACGACAACTGTTCAGTGATGTCTCCGTGATCGCGAGGGTGAAAACTGGTAGCGATCACCGAATGGTTAGAGGCACACTGAACCTAAACGTTGGAGAGGTCCCGTCTAATGAAGTCAACGCTCCGTCCCCCTCGTGCTCTGTTCCAAAGTCCCGAAACCTTTCAGTTCGAGTTACAAAACCGTTTTCAGTGCCTAGAAGACTGCAATGAAGTGGACGATATGAATGACAAGCTCGTGGAAATTGTCCATGCGGTCGGAGCTAAGTTCTGCAAGACCCGTCGCAGAAGAACACAAAAACTCTCCGATCACACTCTTAATCTCATGGCTGTTAAACGGGAGATGAAGCTACATTCTTCAACAGATTTGACAGTATACAGGCAACAGAACAGACAGATCTCCAATTGCATGCGGCGGGACTTACGCAACTTCAATACAGCTTGTATTGAAGAAGCGATCGAGCGGAACCAAGGCTCCAAAGTTTTTGCACGAGATCTGTCTGCCAGAAAGAGCCAACTATCAAAGCTGAAGACCGAATGTAGCAGCATCGTTTCCGGGACACCTGAGATTTTGAGTGAGATTGAGAGGTTCTATGGGCAGCTGTACACGTCATCGTTGGAGCCACACGCAAGTGTGAGTAACGATCCAAGAGCGAGTCTTATCCGACACTTCCGAAGATATACCGGAAGTCAGTCTGAGCGAGATTAGAATGGCTCTCCAGCACCTTAAAAACGGAAAGTCCCCGGGCGAGGATGGACTTATAGCGGAGTTTCTGAAAGCGGGTGGGAAACCGGTACTTGAAGACCTTCAGAAGCTCTTTAAATCCGTCCTCCATGGTGGCACTACTCCGAAGGCGTGGAGCAGAAGTGCGGTGGTCTTGTTCTTCAAGAAAGGCGACAACGCTCTCTTTAAGAACTACAGACCGATTTCCCTTCTGAGCTGCGTCTACGTGCTGTTTTCGAGAGTCATTACGAATCGTCTCGCACGCAGACTTGACAACTTCCAGCCTCCTGAACAAGCCGGTTTCCGAAAAGGCTTTAGTACCATCGACCACATACACACCCTTCGGCAAAATATACAGAAGACAGAGGAGTATAATCTGCCACTTTACCTTGCGTATGTGGACTATAAGAAAACCTTTCATTCCGTCGAAATTTGGGCAGTGCTGCAGTCCCTTCAGCGGTGCCAAGTGGACTGTCGGTATATCGAAGTGCTGAAGTGTTTGTACAATAGAACTGCGATGGCTATCCGTGTACAGAATCAGAGTACGAAACCTATCCAACTGCAGAGGGGTGTAAGACAGGGTGACGTTATATCCCCGAAACTTCACCGCTGCGTTGGAAGACGTTTTCAAGCTGCTGGATTGGAAAGGATGCGGTATCAACATCAATGGCGAGTACATAACTCACCTTCGATTTGCCGACGATAAAATGTGCCGTAATTATTCCGGACGCTGCCCAGCCGAGTTGAATCCGTCGATTGACCTCTCGGTCGAAGTTGAATTTACTTAATTGGACTATTTATCCCGGCTGAACATACTCGTCAACAACTTCGAGCTCAGTGCTCCCAACAACTACCGGCATAGGTGTGACATGGACATTAAACATGATCTTTGTTTTGTCCATGTTCATCTTAAGACCTATCCGTTGGGAGGCACTATTGAGGTCATTGAGCATAGTGCTTAGGTCCTCCAGCGATTCTGCCATAAGGACTATATCGTCGGCAAATCGAAGTTGAGTGATGTACTCGCCGTTGATGTTAATACCGTATCATTTCCAGTCCAGAAGCTCTAAACAGAAAATGTCTTCCAATTTAGCGGTAAAGAGTTCCGCGGATATAACGTCACCCTGTCTTACACATCTCTGCAGTTAGATAGGTTTCGTACTCTGGTTCTGTACTCGGATATCCATCGTAGCCCTATTGTACAAACACTTCAGCACTTCAATATACCGACAGTCAACTTGGCACGGCTGAAGGGCAGTCCCTTCAGACGTGTCAAGTTGTAGCACCGCCCAAGTCCACTTCCTGTGAGGCCGCTTCTGGAAGAAACAGAACCTTGGGTTCCGTTACTCTATTCCAAATTTCCCTACCTTCAGCTCACTTTTCTCTCTTGTGCGTAGTTTTGCTTTTAAGTCTCCCATTAACACCGTATAGTGGGTTTTGTAGGAATGCATGGCTCTAGATATATTCTCATACATTTCCTTCACATCTTCATCGGGATGTGCTGAGTTTGGTTCGTAAACCTGTATGATCTTCAGCGAATACAGTTTGGTGCTTCTGATTATAAGGTACGCAACCCTCGTCGATACACTCTCAATCTTTACAACGTTGTTAACGAGAGACTTGTGGACGATAAATCCGACACCGCCTTGGGACCGATGGTCGCCCTCCCGGTGATAGAATAAGTTGGCGAATTTGGGGATTACCGTGTCCTCCCCCTCTCTTCGGACCTCAGTTAATCCTACGATATTCCAGCGCAACTTGGCTATCAGTTCCAGGATCTTCTCGTCAGTCCTCAGGGTGCGTGCGTTATATGTTGCCAGGTAGAGTCGTCTTAGGTGGCAACCGAACCTCCACGGGAGATTCTTATTGTCCCTATGAGCTACTTTGAGCGTATGGTGCCTACTATTGTCAGTTTGTAGGGTTCCTGTAGCAAGTTCTTAGCTAAAGGAACAGAAGTGAAACCAAAAGTCACACGTAATGTTTCTATAGGTCCCATATACAGTATACTCGTGTACTCACCGGTTCTTCGATTAGTTTCTCTAATATTGCCGCATTCTGACAAGATAAGAATCCTGCATCCAGCTATGCTAGTGAAGTATACCAAAATTACATAAATATCATTCATAAACAGTAAATACACTTCATGGCAAGAAGTCGGAAAAGTTACACAAAGGATGATATGTTTCTATGTAATTATTGTACTTACAGTGTTGACACCGCCATCACGCGTAAGCTCTGCTCGACAGCTAAGTCTCAGTTAGCTTGAGAGAGACAGCGCGCTACGATGCGAAATAAAAAAAGAGACAGCGCTTTTTGTGTTTCGCTTACGTCGCAAAGACGTAGATTATATTTCTAGGGTTAATTTAACTTTTTAATTCCCGACGTTACGGGTGCTTTACACACCCCGATGTCATACCGGCTAGCCCGGCAAACTTCGATTTTTGAATTAGATGTATTCAAAAATCGAAGTTAGCCGGGCTAGCCGGGTAACATTGTTATTATGACTATATTTAATTTGTTCATAGACGTGCCAGAATGTCGCACTTGCTGAAATTGCTCGTCAATTCGGTCTAATGAATGATTTAAACAATGTGATGAAGATATTTATCAAGTTACGTTTCTCCTTGATGTCAAGAGTAAGTAATTTTTTATATATCGTTTTAGGATTACACACAAGCACATCATCTATTTAACAATCTATTATCAATTAAGAATTAAAATGCAGATACATTGTCATCCCTGACAACTAAAATAGAATGCCTCCTTACCAGTAATAAGGGTTCATTTCTTCATACTCACCATTAAGGAGTACAGCAAAGCTATGCTGGTATTCTGTGGGAGTTTGGTGCTTTCCTGGTTGAGCCGACCCAATCAGGCTGTAGTCATTATACTACTGCAGAACGGCTACACCACATAAAATGTGTTTTCCAACATTATTTGTCCTGGATCTGGGTTTGATATTAATATTTTTTTATAGGATAGGGTGACATACGAGCACACAGTCCACCTGATGGTAAGTGATTGCTGTGACCTATAGACATCCACATCTATCCTCAATAAAGAATCAAAATACAGATGCGTTGTCACCCGTGATGACTGAGATGGAATGCCTCTTTTCCAGTAAAAAGGGTCTCCGGTTCTCTACGCTCACCATACGAAACACAGCAGTGTTAAACTGCTATTTTACGCTGGTATTTTGTGAGCGCGTGGTCCTACCCCAGTCGAGCCGACCCATCCGTGATTCGACACAACCATAAAATAGTTGCGGCATGGCTCTACCACGTAAGAACTATATGAAGTCTATATATTTTCGAAATATTTTTTTAATTTCGCAGGCTTGCATGTTTTCTCACGATGTTTTCCTTCACCGCCGATCACGTGATAAATCAACTACTTAAAATTACAATTAACAATTTCATTGGTGCCTGCGGGAATCGAATAGTTGCTCGCATACTGTTCAATGCAGCTTGCACCCTGTGCATTTTTTTTATAGGATAAGTGTGACAAACTAGCACACAGTCCACCAGACGGTAAGATGGTAAGTGGATGCTGTGGCCCATAGACATCTACATTTATCCTCAATTAAGACTCAAAATGGAGATGCGTTGTCACCCGCGAGGACTAAGATGGAATGCCTCGGTTTCCAGTAAAAAGGGTCTCCGGTTCTCTGCACTCACCATATGAAACACAGCAGCATTAAGCTGCTATTTTACGCTGGTATTCTGTGAGAGCGTGGTCCTTCCCCGGTCGAACCGACCCATCCGTGTTACAACTATACTAGAAATATAGCTGCAGCATGACTACCACATAAATACTATTAAAAAAAGATTATAACACTGGCAAGTGCAAGGTCATCATCATCATTGATGATACTCATTTATTGATATTAAGTTGGAATATTCCTTAAAACAGATGAGGCGTCTGATAAGGCGATGCGTAGCGCGAGGATGGCCGGCTGAACGTGCGTTACTCCTGGCCCCAAAATGGCTGCGCGTCATCGAAACCAGAATCCGACTCTTGCCGGTAGCTATTAAGGTGATGAGCGTAATATTTCTTAGTATTGTAAATAAACTGCCGTTTCGGGTAGGTGGGCCGAATGAGTTTCACTCCGAATTCACCGCGGACTTTTTACAGTGTAAAATATAATATAATATAAATGTATGTATACGGTTCACATTTGTGCTTCGTAAATATAACCATGTCTCAGAATACAACACTAAGCTCAAGTGATTCATAATCGGTCTTCCTCGGAACACTCATATACTTTCTGCTTTCTACTGCGTCTTATTTATTATATCATGTCCTCACTATCTAAAATAACGTTTTAAATGAGGGCTAATAATCTTCCACTCACCAGATGTCGCTAGTTGTGACTGAGGTAAAATTTTTTGTTACACAATGTCAGTTAATTGAGAAATTAGTTTTAAATAATAGTTTATCATTATCTAGAGTATTATATTAATCCACAACACAATGCGTCAGTGGTTTAATTTTTAATTTTTTGCACATTATAACTCTTTTTTTTAAAAAAGTTGTCTATTAGTTATATTTATAGTTTGGTTTATTCATTTCTAATGTAATTAATATAAAATATAACTAATAATACATAAAGAAACCTTAAAGCACCTTAAAGATTACATTTTCCTAAGAAATTATCATCCCCGCTATGAAATCTGTCAAATATTTTACCTTACTCTAAAGTGGCGCCGCCCTGGTGGCAGAAAAAGTCGTGGATTGCCCTCATTGCACCACTCCGAAGTTAGTTTTTAATAAAAGTTTATCAGTTAAATATTATACTAATACACAAAATAATGTCTCAGTGATTCGCTCTTTAATTTTTTTGCACATTTTTAACTTCTCTTTTAATATTTCTACTTTTGTGTATATCTGTTGTTCGGTTTATTTATTTTTAATCTAGTTAATATAATATATAACTAATAGTACAGAAAGAAACATTAACGTTTACATTTTCCAAACAAATTAACTTCCACGCTATGAAATCTGTCAAATATTATACCTCACTTTTAATTGGCGCCGCCTTGGTGGCAGAAAAGTCGTGGATGCCCTCATTGTACTCTCCGTTCCACTCCTCGCCCATTCCTTAACACCGTATTGGTTACTGATCTCACTCCTTCGCCCTCACGGTCATCTTGACATCAAGAAAGCTCCCTATATAAATTAATTATGCTCATTGCGATATAATTGAAAATTTGAAATTGCTACATCACCTTTTATATGCCTCTATCTCTGTTTCTTTAAGATGTTTAAATTAATTAGGTAAGATGAATGAGTTCCAGAAACTGGTTAAGGAACACTATTTCTCTCCTCCTCTTACTCCTCCTCCTCTTATTTTTGGTCATTGATCTATATAAAGAATGTTGTCTTTCTAATGTTGCTATCTTTTCTTATTCTAGTGCACCCTACCTGTTGTTCTTATTCTTGTCTTTTTATTTAATTCTTCTTCTGGGTTGTCTAGAAGAGTTTGCTACGTAGCAATAAGACCGCCTTTTGTTTTTCCCTCAATATTTCTTTTTGTATTTATTTTTTCTTGGCGTACAATAACGAGTAGTATTGTATTGTGTAAATTATTAATAACTAGATCACAGCGCCATCTATTGAGTCCATATTATGTGTGATTTTATTTTCTTGGCGCTAAATCAACAACGATGTAAGAATATCCACTATCCCATATCTTTCCGTGGGTGTCGTAAGAGGCGACAGAAACGGAAACGGCAGATAGACAGCAGTATATAATAATAATATAAATAAAATAGAACGTGTAGTCGTAGTCAATTAAATACGACTGCAGTAATTTAAAATTTAAAATTTTGTACAGCCGACTTCAATATAAGCGACTTCAATATAGGTTATTTAAGAATAACTCAATAACCATTGGTCTGACCTTGATCAAATTCATATGGGACCACACGAGAACTGTCAGCTTTCATATAAAAAAGAATCATCGGAATCGGTTCGCCCAGTACAAAGTTATGAGGTAACACACATAAAAAAACATACAGTCGAATTGAGCACCGTCTCCTTTTTGGAAGTCGGCAGAAATATGTATGTTTTTTTTTATGTGTGTTACCTCATAACTTTTTTCTAGGTGATCCGATTTTGATGACACTTTTTTATTTGAAAGCTGGTGCTTCTCATGCAGTCCCATATAAATTTGATCAAGATCTGACCAGTATTTTGTGTCGACTTCCAAAAAGAAGACGGTACTCAATTCGACTGTATGTTTTTTTATGTGTGTTACCTCATAAGCTCATAACTTTTTACTGACTGAACCGATTCCGATGATTCTTTTTTTCTTTGAAAGCTGGTACTTCACATGTGGTCCCATATGAATTTGATCTAGGTCAGACCAATAGTTTTTGAATTATTCTTAATAACTTATTTTGAAGTCGGCTGTACAAAATTTTAAATTTAAAATTATTATTGAAGTCGGTTGTACATCATTTTTAATTACCTAATTATTTATAATTACCACTTGTTATGTATAAATTGAAGCAACACACAACAAAAACGGTAGTGGTCGATGATATGGACTGCGAAACTCGAACGGTCGTGAATTTAAACCAGTCATTCAACTATTATCTGGAATCCCTCTTTTTAAAGCGGTCATTAGCGTCCCATTGTTCCTATTTCTATTGTTCTATTGTTCATTAATCACCTTCATTGCAGCGTGTGCGTCGACTATATCAGTGCTATTGTATTATATTTCTTTGTTCCTAATTATACAACGCTAATCTATATCATCAATAAAACACATTACATAATTTTGTTACAATTTTTATTTATAAAATACAAAATCTTATTACTTATTATCTATAAAATAGGAGCGAAACATCTCATCCACTAAAATATCGTTGTACAATGTGTTCCTTGTAAATATACTCGTAAAACTATGTATTGAACATCCCTGAAACTTATATTCGCCACAAACTGAAGTCCACTCATTCTGAATCCTATCAACATTCCAGTTCCATCTTTTACAATTCCTTTTTAAAAACTCTAGATGATATCGTACAGGTGATCGTCCATATGAATCAAAATATTGACCGACGTCATTCGTATCGATATATAAAGCTACCCAATGTGACCCTGGTTTATCATCTGTATCCAAATTGCATATTATATACGTTGGTACGTGGGTATACATAGGTAGTCTATTAGCTGCATAAACATTATTTTCTAGACTGGGGTGAATCTTTTTCAGATGTTGTTGTACATCTAGTGTATCCATGATATTACTGCTATTAGTAGATTATTACAGTACCAATCTACTCAATGAATAACATAGGAATGGTCAATTATAGTGATTTCTAAATATTAAATTGCATTTTTGTGTTATACAAATCGTACTTGAGTCATTGATCACCAAACAAAACACAATACGAAGAAATGTTGAGATAGGCAACGGAAATGTGAGATAAACTGGTTGACGCATAAAGTAATTATCAACTCATTACGGAAATACTTTAGATTAGAATTTTTACGTACTGGTGGTATATAAGACCAACAGACGCAGTCATCGAGTTAGTGTATAGTCGTTTGACTGCAGTGGATCTATCAATAGTACATTTGTGTTACTTCAATGCACCAAAGGCTATGGATGTAAGTGTTTATTCTATTGACTAAATTACTTTTTTTCTGTCATTTTCATGCGTGTGTATTATTTTATTTAAATATTGTGTATGTATATGATTAAGCCGTGGTAACTCAGATGGTTAGCATAGGCTGTAACTTTAACTTTTTTAACTTTTATGATTTAGTGTTAACAAATTGATATTAACATGATAACTGTGTTGTTGCAGAAATCATTGAGCTTCGATGAAAATACCTATAAACAGTATTACTACTCGCCACTCTCCCCTCAAGAAGAGAGTGATGACCTCGTCATTAATAATAACACATGCGATGGTGGAAAAAGAAAATCGCAATCGATTGATCATTTTTTTGAAGCTGAATCAAAAATAAAAAAGAGGAAGCTGTTATCATCAACCGTAGCACGAGCCGCTAGAGATGGTGTATCATACATTTCTACTAATTCTGACGACGGAGACCAAGCGACGCATCTCATCAAAATTGAAATGTACGATATGAAGAAGCTATCCAAGATTCCAACTACTGATCATTGGAAACATGCTTCCACGAGAATTAAATATTACGTAAAGACTAATAAGGATAGCATCTACGACAACACAAACGCCCTCGTATACAATATAACAAAGACAATAGCAGAAAGTGAAAAAGTTAAAAAATACTTTTTTAACAATGACAGTCATTAGCTGATCATTAGTGAATGTGATTCTGTTTACTTCAATTACTTCTGTGTACTCATTACATTCTATGTCATTAGCTGATCATTAGTGAATGTGATTCTGTTTACTTCAATTACTTCTGTGTACTCATTACATTCTATTTATAATCCTTTGCTAGACTATAAATATCGGACATTATTTGAAATTTTGATATCAGTTGGTCTACGAACACTGAACTGTTACTTACTCTGCTATCTATTTTCTTCTTTACTATAAGGATGGAAAACTTCAGTGAAGTGTGCACCAGTGCTTTTTTCTCCACAATCATGGAAGAGAATACGGAACTATTCAATAGCGAATTAAATCAGGAGTTGTCTAAAGTTTGTGAAGAAATGGAGAGGGGTCAACTGTTCGATTCGTCATACGATGATGAGTTGTATCATCACTGTGCGATGGTTGAAACACAGTTTAAGTATGTAAAATAAACATTCATTTCGATCATAATTTACATATTGTCTTATACAGTTTTTAATAAATTTAAACATTTTAGCAGTCAACCACTACAACTTGGAAGAGGAACGAAGCGAACGTGCAGCAAAGAATCCAAGATCATCAAAAAACCAACAACGGAAGCAGAAGCGCGTACCTCTGCAGGGAACAGTATCAGTAACGATGATCAAGTGGAATGTCCAACGTGCCATATATTTATCAAGAAACGGTATTTAGCTAATCATTTTAAAAGTAATGTTCATAAAAATAATCTTTTAAATTCACATAATTCTTTATCAAACGTTAGTGTTATTGAATCTGCTTTTGGAAATAGGATTTTAACTTATAAAATCAAGAGTAGAGTAGATCGTTCGACATGGGTAAATTTTG